TCTACATTTAACAAACTCCAGAGACTTTTTATTTTTTGTACTCTGAGCATGCTGAGGAAAGTTTGTTTCAAATGACTCACTGCAGTGAAGTGTGCGCTGACATGTCATGGAGAAAGAACTTGAATATGGACACAGATGGAGTACGAAGGAAAGAGGCAAGGAGAGATGTAACGAGAGAGGAATGAGCAGGAGGATAAAAATGGAGCTTGCTAGGGAGGGAAAATCTGGCATCCAATGTTGCATGTCTCCTGTTACAATTATAGTGGGTCATTTGTTTTTGTTTATGCCGTAAAGTTCTCTGCTGAGGTTAACTGAGGCCATGAAAATGCAGAGACAGACAAAGCCCCCCCCCCCTGCTGCTGAAGTTAAGGTCATCTGCCATAATCGCATGGAGCTGAGAGTCTAACATGGAAACAACACACCAGCACGACTTAATAGCGTGGTTTTATTTTAATTCAGTGAATATAATTATGACTTTTTAATAGTTTTGCTAGTATTCAGAATATTAAAATGTAGTTCACTTAATGCTCTCGAGCCAGTCGTGATGGAAATTAACTTGCAGGAGTTAAGAACAAAAAAAGTGAACAAAATCAGATCTTTGTGTTCTGTCCTTTTAGCTTAAAAAGCTTAAACAATTATACCATCAAGCTTTTTTTGTGTTTTTTTTAATTTATTCCCATGTCAAAATAAAGCACTTCAGATTCATTGTACACCTACGCTAATGGTGACAATAATGTAATTCATGAAAGAGTGAAAAAGACTGACTTAATTTGATAAGAATGAATTTACTGCTTGCCAATTTATTTGCTTCTCTCGTAGCTCTGCCCATTCAAGTTAGATCCTCCTCTGCTCTCGAGCAGAGTCAATAGGCTGTTATCATAAACTGTATATAACACAGATATCAGCCGATTAGCGCTAAGCAACAGTTTAATAAAACACAATAAGGATCACTCACTAAATAGAAGCCAAAACGTCTTGGACTGGATGAAGATGGGTATAAACTTAGCAAAAAAGTAAGGAAATGTTGCGTTTGGTTGATGTAACAATGCTGTAACAATGTTTCTTGGCGATAAATCTTATACAAACAGTATAAAATGCATGAGCAGAGTTGAGTATAGGGGTTGCACCCATTAAATATGTGCCAAATTTTCTGTGCCAAAGCCAAACAGATTGTTCTGCTATTAACTCTTGTTTGGTGCCATTTATTTGATTGGATGATTTAAGTCTGAAGAAACACGACATATTAGCAGTTTACACAATTTATTAATTTAACAAACAGGTGCCTCGGGAGGTGGAAGAACGATGCACAACTATAACAAATTTTCCACTTGAGGTTGGCTCCACAGACTCTCAATGTCCAAAATTATAGATCTACAAAGCACATTTACAGCCGGGTGCAAAATATGAATTCCCTCCTCATAACTCATAACAACTCTGACTGAGGGGAAGTTTTGTTTTTGTCACCTGGATAATTGACATAGGTTCATGGCTGCCTTGACTGATAGGTGTCCCGGCACGGGCTCTGGAGCCAGTTAGTTTCTGCTAGGCTTCGTCCACTACTGCCAGTCATTAAACTGCACCTCTTCAGTGTATGTGTGTGTGCGCGCGCATGCTCTTTAAGCCTGTTGGAGCATTTTTAATGGATTGTCTGTCAAAACATTATGGCTTGCTGTGCAGTACAGACCATCCCAGAAATTTGCACGCATCACTTGGTGAGTGGAATTTTGCACTAAATAGTTGATATGTGTGTCTGTCTGTGTGTTGCACTCTTATATTTTCTGAATGGTGTTTACTTATCAAGCTGCCTAGTATAAATGTCACCTTCACATTCATATAAGATAATATTTGGCTCCAAAAACACATTGGCAGTCAAAACACTGACTGACTGTAATTGTAAGAGCTTGCATTGTGTCTGAAGGCCGCCAAATGGCGATAGATGTGGTTGCAAAAAAGATTTCTGGTTCTATTTAAGTGGGAGAATGTCTTATGTTTATTTTGAATAAAAAATGCATCCAGTTTGTAAATCTTGATGATACCATGTTTCAAAAAAACTGAATTATCTGTGCTATACCTACAATGGCTACGGAATTGGCAATCACAAGTCATATTGGCTAAATAAGCGTGTGGCTTCACAGTCAGACCTGCCCCCTTCATCACATCCTATTGTTTGCAACCACGATAGCAACAAAACCAAAACACTCATGTCGAGGTTTCAAAATGTGGCTTCAGAAACTCATGTTGAGGGTGATGTCACAGTCACTACATCCACCTTTTATGCTAGCTATGGTAGGAGCACATAGTAGTATTTTATAGAACACTGTACAAGTGTAATATGGACTAGCTAGTGTGATCTCTTACAGATGACTTCTCTGCTTCTCCAGGCATTTAGTGACTGTGAAAGTGAAGACACATGGATTATGCATGCTGTGCCCTGCATACACAACGGGAACAAATCTCTTTCATGCAGCCAGATGTTTCAGTAATCCACTTTGTTCACTCCTGACATGTTCTCTAGTTGCCTTTCCAGAAAGTTCAGAGGTCACACTCAGCTCCAGAAACACACCCCACATCTGCTTGATCAGCTGCAGATCTAAAAAAAATTGTGCTGGTGCACGTCCTACAAAATATTTGTTTTTGTCTGCTGCTTTTCACCTACCTTGAAAAGCTCATGCTGTCCAACTCAGAACCCGCTACATGGCACTTTGGCCAATTAGTAGGTGTAAGTAACAAGAGCAGTGACAACGACATGAACCCTGACAAGATCAGCATTATGTGAGAAAAGGAAAAAAACTGGCGACATGATCATTTTTTTAACCACTTCAGCGTCACATACTCTGCTTGTTGTAACATTTCTACAACGATTGGATATAGTGCAGAAAAATACAGCACGAGTTGTAGATGAGAATACGTTATGCAGTAATTGGCAACTCTTACACTTCTCATCAATATGAATATAACATTGTACTGCTGAAAATTTAAAGTGAACAAGCCTGGTTGGGAGTCACCAAGCTCCTAAAGGTAGTAAAAATTAAATGATGTAAGTTTCCTAGCCTAACAAGTACAACAGAGCACACTGGAGTGAGATCTGTGTGGGTTAAGTCAGTCTGTGCACGCAGAGGTCTAATCAGCCAGAGGTGACTTTGTGCAGACCCTGTTGAATCGTATTAACCTTATCGCATCTGGCGCTGCTGCTTTCCAATGTAAAGGACCGCTGTGATTTATGTCTGTTTCCTTGGCGCTCTTAAGGGAACAGATAAGACTATCAGAAGTAAAAGAAGAAGAGAAAAAAAGAGGAAAACAGATAGAAACGAGTGTTTGTGTAGTGCCACACTCCTACAGACTCATGGTCAGGGGGTGAGTCATCTGTCTGGAGAATATGTCCCTTTATGTTTTCCCGCTGACCTTTTGGCAGTGCATTTTCTGAAGCGAGTGCTGGAGTGTCAAATCATCCACCCCCTTCACCATCTTGTTTTTTCCCCTCGTTATTTTGATGATACATACTCCTTTTATTTTTTAAACTCTTTTTTTGCACATATCCTTCACGCTGACTCAGTGTCATTGCCTCCTGTGATAAATTCTCTACTTAATTGAATTAAGTTTTGCATTGAATCATCAGATGCTTATGCCAGGCGTAAGAGCGTGCATGTTTGTGTGTTTATGAACTGGAGTGAGCCCCCTGTTGATTCCATTAAAATGACTCATTCTGTCTTCCTCACAGCTCTGAGTGTCAGTCAGTCACCCACACTCATCCTGGGACGCGAGCTGGCCCCAGCAGCCCTGCAGCAGTGGTGGACAAACTGGACTGAAACATGAAATAATTCATTTGTGATGTTGCTTTCCTTAATTTGATTACTAACATTTTTTTCCAACCCCAAACCAGAATTTGTTCTTCTCCACACACACAAAAAGATCTTATTATTTCATCAAGGAGGTCTTTGGAGTGAAAAAACTGAAGGAACTGCTGACCTACCAAAGGGGGTATTTAAACAGGATTATCCGGTTAGCACGATATCTGTGACGGAGGATTAACCAACACATCACTCGACTTCCTAATTATTCCCAAATTAAACCCAGATCCAGTTCTCTGCAAAGTGTTTGGCAGCTAAATTTGTCTTATTATGAGCCATTTGGCTGAGTGAGTTACCCTAGTTCTTCAAACGGCCCTCAAGGTGAGGCTGACTCTTAATTCAAAATCATTTCATTCACGCTGCACGATAAAACCAGTGACGGTGCACCTCCTGTTAAAGTGCTCCACATTCTTCTTCTTTTGAATCTTTAGAAATGTGCCCATGAAAAGGCAATCATCACATTTCTCTATGTTCACCTCAAAGTCGAGTTTAACGTGCGTATAGATGAGACGACTCTGTAAAATCATAACTAGAAGCCAGTCGTGGTCTGTATTCCACCTACTCAAGTGTGATGTGGAAACAAGAAGCCTCTGGTGCACATGCACTGTGCAGCACTGAGCTAGTTTATTGCATAAATGTTTGTAAAGACATTAAAAGTCATATATTACTGTTACATCTTTGTGTGCTCCTAATATTGCTTGAAGGTTTCTGACAATAGGCTCACTAAAATTGTTTGACCTTTAATGATCTTTAATCCATCTTTGGAGGCTTACATGCATGCCATCACGTTTTCTTGGCTACCAGTTGGCCAATGATAATCAAGAGACAGCAGGCTGGCCTAAACAAAGGATCATCTCAGCCTTGGCACAGTAAAATGATCAGAGGATTCCCTCCAAGATAAAACAGCAAATAAACAAACCACACAAAGATTAGCACAGCTCATAAAAATGATAATAGTAAGATGACACGTATCCCCACTCATCAGTCTTTCAGGTGGCTTGTGGCTGATGTTAAACCTTTTTATTCTTCAAATATTAACACTGAGCGTTGTAAAATATGCATGTAAATAAAAGGGAGACTGTAAAACTGTCAGCTTAAATCTGCTTGAATACGTCTCCCCTTGAAGAGTTTAAACCACAACTAAGCTCTTACCTTTTTACAAAAGCCGAGTTTTCACCGTCAGTGTGCCATTAGGCATGCGGAGGGATTAGGCTATAACCTAGGGACAGTAAAAAGCCATCTTCCACTTTGAAGGCTACTTCCAGTGAGATGCCATGCTGGAGAAAATGAAGATGACAGGAGACGGTTCCACTCCCAAGCGGCAGTACTATTTGCTGACATCCAAGCTCCTTATTAACGGAGACGACGATGGTCGTTAGGCTTCTGTGGTTCGCCAAGTGAGACTGAAATATTACAAAGTGCCAGTTCTGATGACTTTATCCTGCGCGAGGCACGTTTTACGCCATATGGAGAGTACGCGCGCTCGAGACAAGGAGGGTGGCGAGGCACGCTAATTACGACTGAAGGAAAATCCTTTCTGCCTATTTAAAGTCCTAAACGAAGTGGTTGTAATTCCCCAGCGGAGAACTCTGTTTTATTTGTGAGAAAAGACAGCAAAGGAAGCTGATATGATACCCGTCCTTCGACTGGCTCGATGTAATGCGTAAAACTCCCGGTATCCTTGTTTTCGAAAAAGAAGAACTTCAATTTGCGTAAAGAGGGAGAAGGAAAATATTTTTTTTTAAAAAACAACCAAAAAAACGTCTTAGAAGCAAGGAGTTTCGTGTAAAGAAAATTGGTGAAAAGTGTAGAGCGCGTTTTATTCCGCTGACTTGCAGAGAGAAGGGGCAGCTCCAACCATTTCTTCTAAAAGCGCTATAGGCTTGTGAGAATGTGTGAGCGAGTGAGAGAGGAAGAGGAGGGAGAGAGAGAGGTAGATGGGGGTGAATGTGTTGTACGCGCGCTGTAGCACTTTTATATGCATGTGTGCGCTTCGGGCGTGTGCGTGTTTACGAAAGGAAAGCAGGCAGGCTTCCACGCGGGGCACTTTCTTGCATGTGTAGGGCGCAGAAGACAAGAAGCGAGACTGATTTATGAGGGGAAACATATGGACATGTCATTGCTTTCTAAGCAAAGACAAACATGGATCCGCTTGCAGTAGTTTTACAGATCTTTGTGGGCGCAGTAAGCAGCAGGAGTCTAAAAACTGGGTAACCATAAAAGGCCAAGGAAGAGTAAGCATGCTTTTATGTCTAACTGCGGCACTGGCACGTTTAATTCTCCGGGTTTTCATGTAAATAGACATCAGATGTTCAGATGCAGCTCTCGGCGCTGTGTCTTTGTAAACTTCTCAGCTTTTCTTTCTACACACACACACACACGGAGCGAGAGAGAGAGAGAGAGCGAGCAGCAAAAACGTTACAGATGTTGGCATGTGTGTCATTTCCTGTGTTTACAAGCTGGAAGAGTTTCAGGGAAGTATAGCAGCTGGGTGGAGCTGAAGAAGAGAATTTAAGGCATTTGGGCAGATATCTAACAATAAGCAGTAGGTGTGTGTCTGTGTGTGAGAGAAAATGTAAGAAATACAGAGAGCCCATTATTTGTTCAGATGGCTCAGATTAAGTTGGTGAGAAATGAAACCTCAAGAGCAGCTGAACATACACATGCAGAGGAGGCGATAGTCTTTGTATGTAGGCATCATTTTTTACCCTGAATGTGACCCTTACATACCATCTTTACCCCAATCCATCTCATGCCAATAACAAGTGTAAATGACTAATTATTATGTAATTATTATGTAATTAATGATTGATCAATATTATTTACTCCCTCTTGATCGCAAAATTTTTGTATTATTTTATGAGCTACTGATTGGTGGGTTTGTTCTTATACCCAGAGCCTTGAATACTGCTGAATAGTCAAAGCTGGTAGTATCCCAGGTACTCACACCGTGTCTTTAGTGCCAGTTGTAAGAACAGCATTGCTCCAAGCTCATCTCTTCTTAACCCAAAACACAATCCTTTCCTAATCCCAACTTTCACAAAATAGTTTGGCGGTTAAACTAAGAGCCATCAAAGCAAAAGTAAACAATAAAAAGTGGAGCAAAACAGGACACAAACTGCTGTCTAAGAGTTCACAGTATTTAAGCCACCAACAGTTTACACAAGAAAAGTGCTACATCAGTACCTGACATGTCTACTGTGCTTAAAAGTTTTACATTTTTAAAGTCTTTTTATACTTCTATATTTTGCTTCTAAGGAGCAGAATTGCTTGTAGTCTTGAGCAATAGCTCTCCAGGCTTTCTGAAAATGTACTGACCATTGTTGTTTTTTTAAAAAACATTTTTATATTTATCTTTAGGCATTAAAAAAAAGAATGCCAATGATAACTCAGTTTGACAGACAAAGAGTATTTTTTGAACCTACAAAGGAATTTTCAATGCACTATTAGCCAGAAATGTGTGCAATTAATCTTCAGAACATTTGAAGAAATTGCACAACTGAAGGAGAAATTACAAAGGAACTGGGCATTGCATCAGTAGCTACAAGTGTTATGGATCCAAATTTAAAATTTGTGGTACAAATGATAGTTGGTATGTATGGAGGAGGTCAGGGTAGAAGTTCAACACTAAGTGTTCAACACTGGAGGCTCTGTCATGGTTTGGGGATCTTTTTTAAATTGGTGGAATTATGACTGCAGAAAAGTACCATCAGGTTTTGATCCACCATGCAATACCATCTGGAAAACATCTTCATTTTTCACGACTACAGGGATCATGGTCACACTGCTAATGTAGTGAAAAGCATACCTGATAGAAAAACCCACAATCCGGTTGTTCAGTGATGACGCGACGAATCCTACTTCCGGGTCTAAAGTAGTGTGCGTTTAATATGGCTTTTGTGTTGTTAACATGTTTAATGTTATGTATTTTCTTCTATTTGATCTCAAAAAGCTCCTAAAACAGTCAGTGATCACTGTTGACCTCCCTCGGCTTTTATTACCGCTAATCATTTATTTAAGCTCAGTTTTTAAAACCTTAGGGTGTAACTACAGCCCAGCCCATGCAGCAGTATATGAATGACTAACCTCGTATTGTGGATGGATTATCTCAGTTGTTCTCCTGGCTGAAGTTTGGTCCTTTTACAGCATCCTGCCATGCGATTACATTTGTTCCTGACCACCGAGAACACTCACGGTAACTTTTATCGAGTGGAAAAAAAAGTTAGCTTGTTTATATTATGCTAACGTAGCTGTGTCGCTAGCGGTCACGCAGCACATCATTATATACCAGCTAGCCCAACTTCAGTAACCCTACAAACGTTACTGCTGTTTAGTTTTCTGTCTTCATTTATGCTGGAAGTGATAACAGAGCTGTACGTTTTAATTTGTTTCCAAAACCCCGCAGTCAGGACATGCTATATTGTATTTAGATAGAAGCTAGCGAGCTAACTCCCTGCTAACTTCTAACTCCGTTAAATGTCATAAATTCGGTTTTCATGGATGCCTGGATGTTAAACTCAATTGTTACACCTGGTAGAGCAGAACGCTGATCATTTTATTAAAGATGAAAGACTTTAGACAGATTTTCAACTCTCAGTAATGCCATAGTGATCGTTTGATATATGGACCTGCAGCAGAGTTTAGGCCCAGACACGGCTAGTGACGTCAGACTGAACAACCGGATAGAAGATAATCGGTCATGGATTGGCTTCCCCGGAGCCTGGACCTCATTATTATTGAAGCAGTGTGGGACAGACAATGAAACAAAGGGAGTCAACATCCAAATAAGGGCTCTGAAGTTCCTTCAGGAAGCCTGGAGAACTATTTCTGGAGGCTACTTAAAGAAATGACAAGTAATCTGCGTAAGAGAGTTCAGGCTGTGTTGAAGAATAAAGGTTATCATACCAAATACTGACTTTGAAGCTTATTAGAATATAAATCTTTTTTTCTTTATATATTATATTTTAGTGTGTTTTTACCTATTTCAGTAATTTGCTCCATCTATTTCACATTTCACAGTAACATCCCGACAGTCTTTGTAAACTGTTTGTTAACCAGTCAGTAAACATTATTGTTTAGTTGCTTATTAGCCGTAAAAAGTTTAAACAGGGCCCAGTTAACCATAAATTCACTAATTATGAACGACAGCTCATAGCGTTTTCTTGAGCCACATGCACATACACCCTCCCAGTGACAGACGTGGCCTATTTAAATCCTCAAACATGCAGCTTTGCAGCTTTTTCTGATTTTTTGTGGAAACATCTGGATCCTATAACATACCAAAAACTCTCATCTGGAAATACAAACCGATACATGCTCCAGGCGATATCCACAGTTATCCATGAAGGTGGTCAGTCAGTTGCTCTGTTTACATTTCATAACGGACTGAAAGGAAAACATACTGTAGAGGGGCGGGCGAGAACCAGAATAAGATGTGGGGAGAGCGTGGGAGTTAGAGGGGAAAAACAAAGCCTTACATTGTTTACCGGTACACTTCTTGTTTACAAGCCCTCTTGAGATTATGTGATTTACAAAATGTGTTGACTTTTTGGTGTTACACTTATTGTAAGCAGCTGTGGACGAGAGTCTGCAGCTAAATAATTAATGGGAAAATGTAATTGAGAGGAGATTTGGAAAAAGGGGGTGGAGAGAAAATGTTGATGAAGGAGAGGTAGAGGGAAGAAGAGAAAGAAAGACAGCAGAGAATTTTTCAAATTCCTTTCACTGTTTATCATTTCAAATGAGGATATTTGCAAGGATGAAATAAAGACTGACAGACAGCGAGGGAGCTGGAAGCCAGAGGACAGTATTCACAGATCATTTCACATGCCATGATTGGAGGATTGGCTAAAGGAGAAAGAAACAAGCTGACGAATGATTTAAAGCAGCCACTAATGATTTTTTCCCCATTATTGACTGATCATTTGTTCATGCTTTCCTCTCTTTCCTCCTGCTGCGTGTTTATCTTAAACAAATTAAGATGCAAACCACGTCTGTGTGTCGTTATGTGCTATTCAGACACACAGCATGGATAGTACAGCCTCTCGGCTCCCACATAGAGCATATTGACATGTAGGTCAATGAGCCCAAGTGAGCTCATGAGTATCCCTCCCTATTGGTCTGTTTTGAAATGATTTTCAGAGACCTTAAAAACAGAGCGGGACAAAAAGCTGAGACGCAGCATGTTCATCTCTGCTCCTCGGTGGATGCAGCACAGATTGTTTAAGCTCACTCGTGTGGTGTAAACAGTCCCTTTGGTTGCAGGAGCACGCTGCTGAACTGAGTCATCGCTCCCATTTTTCACACTCGTATCATATCAGGTCTGGAGCTGCTGTTTCATTTGTTATGACTGGATCGCAAGCAAAGGCGACCAGCTTTACGGTTTGTTACATTTTGTAAGAGAACATCCTGTTGTTTGCCTTTTGAGGTTTTAGTTTTAGTGCCGGCTTAATAATTCATAATGCCTTGAAATGCATCTAAAATGCCGTTGGGCTTCAAAGGTTTTACTGTGCTTATGTCACCACTGATAGCCTGAGCTGAGTTGGGTTGAAACACAGATTCATTGTCACATGTTTTAATTTGTTATATATTTCCCTGACCTGTGAGCTTGGTAGGCTGGCGACTTGTCCAGGGTGGACCTGGCCTTTCACCCTATGGCAGCTGGGATAGCTTCTATCCCTTCCTAACAGCCCTGAGCTGGATAAGCAGTTAAGAAAATGGATGAATGAATTGCTATTGAGGCTTTCTGAAAGTCAAAGACAAGTTTTAACTCATGCCAATGATGCTTTTGTCTCTCACACAGTGCAACAAGTGATACACTGTCAAAATGAATAGATCAACTTGATAGATATTCTCATTGACTTCTCAGC